CGATTTCTTTGTTAGGTAAAACCTACGAATGTGAAAAATTAGCATGTTTTAGCCATTCAACATATCGTTCATGGATTGGAAGTCGATATTTATTCATTGTGTGATATTTTTTCATCGCCACCCATTCACAGCCCTATTAACAAAGTGGATGGTTCAAATTAGAAATTATTGATTTATTCTTTAACTAGTTGGATTATGTGTCTCGTGCGTTAGAATAATAAAGTAAACAATCACGACTATCTCATATATATCTACGTGCTTTCTAAATCACCTCATGATCTATCAATACGCTATAAATATTCTATGGGAAGGCGGCGACTCTATTTCAACTAATTGTATATTTTATTTTTTATTTTATTTTTACAAGTAACTTCATGTAACCTAATCAATAATTGACAATACTATTGTACCATAAGTGTGAGGATGATACTTCTTAGGTATTAAATGAAAATAAGTAATAACAGAAAAAATACCTTGTAATAGTCAACAACATATGATTAAGAAGTTGGATGTGTGAAAACCATATCACATGCATACAATATGAAAGCAAACAAATCATACTAATAACAAAAAAGCTTATAGTTATACTAATGAAATTAATGAGCACAAAAATTCATAATTTATTTTTTAAATAATTTTAGTTTACTGATAAATCTTATATAAAAGGCAATGTTATTTATTTCACTTTTAAAATCTAGGAGAAAAAGTTAAAAAATTTATATTTTCCCTTAAATATGGGAATATATCCTACAATCGTTATAGAGTTAGGGCCCTTCTTATTTTTGCAACACATGATCACCTCTTAACTCTAACTTAATAATGTAATATAGATTTCTAATATTTAGAAATTTATAGTAAAGTTTAAAAGTTATTATAATTATAGAAAGCATAACAACACCAAAAAAAATTCCTTTTTAATAAATTAAAATGAATAAATTATAAAAATAAAGCTATTGTTTAAAAGTGACAATAAAAAATTATTATTTGTGAAAAAAATTCCTTTTGATAACTTTAAAAGCACGTTAAAGGATTGGTCATAAATAAAATCAGTGAGCACAAGAATTCATAATTTATTTTTAAAGAATATTAGTTTATTAATGAGTCTTATATCAAAGACAATGTTACTTATTGCACTTTTAAAATTTATGGGAAAAAATTAAAAAATATATAATTAAAATATATTATAGGTTGTAAATAACAAATTATGATGGTAATAATATTACAATCATACTTATAATTATTATATTTATAAACCTTGCTAGAACCTTCGCTCTCTCTTTGGGCTACAACCCATAAAGTTTCTCTAAAAAAAAAAATTGCAAACCATTTGAACATAGAACATTGTAACACAAAATATCAAAAAGTAAAGCATGACAGTGAACCATTATCTCAAAGAAGAAACTTAGTCTCTCAACCAATATAACAAAACCTAAGAGAAAACTAGTAAAAAATAAAGAAATGAGAAATAAACCCAAAAAACTAAAAGAAAAAATGAGATGAGAAAGAGAGCAATAAGTAAATATTTAATATAGAGAGAGACCAAGTTGAGAGAGAAGCGGGAGAGAAAGACCACGTTGTGAAGGAGAGCGAGAGGTAGACCAAGTTTAGAGAGAAGAAGGTTAGTTTTAAATGTGAAAAGAGAGAGGGGTCAAACAAAAATAGGAGCTTGCATGTATATCGAATAAATGATCATTTTTAAAAAATTTGCATGTATAGCGAGAGTGAGAGAAGGAGCAAAAAAGTAAATATTGACTGTAGAGAGAGACTAAGTTAAAAGAGAAGTGGGAGAAAGAGACCACAGAGGGAGAAACATACCATTGAGAGAAAGAGAAAAGGTTAATTTTAAATGTGAGAAGAGAGGGGTAAAAAAAGAGGGAGAGACATACCATTGAGAGAAAGAGAAAATGTTAGTTTTAAATGTAAGAACTGAAAAGAGAGAGGGGTAAAAAAAAAAGAAGAGGAGCTTGCATGCATATCGAAAATAATAATAATTTTTTTTAAAAATGCATGCATATCTAGTATGGTTTTCTAATGAAATATCGTTTTTAAAAAATTTAAATGTATATCTAATAAAAAAAAAGACAATGGAAAAAATAAAATTGATATGCGTACTCTCTCTCTTAGATATCTATTTATCTCATTTTCCCACATCAATCTCTCTCCCCCACATCAATCCTCTCTTTTTTCATATTTAATAAGATTATTATGACCGTGGAGGGAGAGAGACAAAGTTGAGAGAGAAAAACCAAGTTGAAAAACAATGGATAGAGAGCACGTTGAGAGAGAGAGACAAAGGCTAGGGTTACTAAAAGAAAGAGATAAATGCTACTTTTTAAATGGAAGAGAAAGAAAAAAAGCGAATGGCGATAAAAAGAGGAACTTGCATGCATATCTAAAAAAAAATCATCCCCAAAAAAATTACATGCATATGGTTTTAAAATGTTAATAAGAATTGATATTTGTTGACATGATAAGCATCTAAAACTATAGCATGCTTAAATTAGAACTGATTATGTTGATATGTAAGTATTTTTGTTGATAGATCTCTCTAAATGGAAAATTGAGATACCCTTATTCTTTCTTAAAGGGAAAATTGAAAAATGCGTAATCGATCTCTCTCACCACATACTAATTTCACACACTAATTTTAGGAGATTGCTCTCTCTTGATTGAAAATAATGTATACTCTCCTTCCTTTAAAGATGGGAATGTCTCCTATAACCTTTATAGAATTAAAGTCCCTTCTTATTTTCAATGACACATGTCATCCCGTTAACTTTGGCAAAATAATGCAGTATAGATATAGAGATCACAAAATATTATTAACAATTTATTTCCATCTTTATAGTTAATTATTACGACACTTCATTTAATTGATAACTTTGAGCCCTCTCCCTCTCTCTTCATTTCATTTGATCTCTTGCTCATTTTTGAACAACATATAAGGACATTTTATGGTCAAAGGTTACTATCATTTGATTGATAAATTTGATCTCTCTCTCTCTTTCATTTTTTTTAAAAATATAAGGCCATCTTATGGTCAAAAGTTTTAGAGCAGTAAATTTTAAATTCATAATTAGTGCGGTGTACACTAGAATAATTATGTATATACATCTCCCATTTACTATACAGTCGTCTCCTATAACTTCTATTTGCTCCACTTCTCCAACACGGTAGTTAATGATGCAATATACTTTATCTTTTCTTTGATCAATTATGATGCAAAAGTGCACATAAGAATTTAAGAAACTTGAGGACCGTTTGTGAATGATGCAATATACTTTATCTTTTCTTTAATCATTTATGATGCAAAAGTGCACATAAGAATTTAATAAACTTGAGGACCGTTTGAGTTGTATTTAGACAGAGTCATTTAATCCATCTCATGTTGAGAAGAACTAATAGATTATAGATTTCTCTCAAATATACTATCCATCACTCATTGTGATGATCGATGAGCGCGGCGAAGGAACATCTATTTATACACACAACTTTTAATTTACCACACAGGCTAATTGAGGAATTTAAACCTGTCAAATACCTTCATCCCAAATAACAAAACAAAACCAGATGACTGAAATAATTTTGTTACAAACAACCATCTAAATTACATCAAAAATATGCTCGAGATGTTTAGTTTTATACACAAATTTAAAGACTGTCAAGTCACTACAATAAAACTTAAAAAAAAAAAAAACATGTCAAATAACTTCATCTCAAATAACATATCAAATAATTAAAATCATTTTGCTGCAACCAACTACCTAAAATACATCTACAATATGCTTAAAAGGTTTAATTTAATACACAAGATGTTTGCGAAATAATTAGAACCACGTCAAATAATTTCATCTCAAATAACTTTACCAAACAATAACCTAGAGAGCTTAAATTTGGTACATAAAATGTTGTGAAAAATTCAAAGCTCTGTAGAAATATTTCAACAAAAATATCCAAAGTTAAATAACTATTTCAAATAATTTCATCTCAAATGCATCTTCAATATGCTTCAAAGCTTCAACATTACGACATAGAATATTGCAGGAAATTCAAAGGCCGGTCATACAATTTTATCTAAAAAAAGTTGATCTCGAGCATCCATCCCAAACAAAACCATCTCAAATAATTACATATCAAATAACAAGTGAATGCTAACATGCCATAAAATGCCACATATGAGTTAACCTCGAGCCATGCAGCAAAGAAAGTAGAGCGAGAAATTGAACCCATCACAAATGCGCACACATACAAACATATATATGGAGCTTGAGTCTTTCAGATACAAGACCCAACAATCATAACCACATCCAAACCAACAAGGGAAAAATAGAAAATAAATTAATGTAATCTTCAGGGAAGGTGATCTTCCTTCCCTTCTTCCAACTAGGCTCATGATCTCCTTTACATGAATCACATTAGTTGGAAGCCAAACAATAGTGAAACAATGAACTCAGGTAATGAAAGGCATACACATGCACTATATGTATATTTACAGCCTATGGGTAAGTTACTTTAGACATTGTGCACGAAAATATTAACATATCAAAGAAACGCAAGAAATCATTACCTCCTATTTAGTGGGCTTTTGTATGTTCCCCTTTGTCTATAAGGCTGCATTCCTCGGTGTCATATGCATAATAAAGATAAGAACAACAATAAAAGCAAAAACCCAAAACTATTATCACAGTCCATGTATTTAAATAAAATTCTGACGTAATTACAAATATGTGCAAAATTGAATAAGATGAATGGATTGTATCAACTATTTTGATAGTTATCCCACAATTGTGTTGCAATTTCCTCTCGCAACTGTACACCAAAATCATGGTCGTCACTACTTTGAGAATCTATCATCAATGTTTCACTATTTTCATCGCCCTCATATGTTCCTGTCATTTCTTGCATCACCTGATTTTCAAACCCTGACTCGATTTCGGAATCGTTTCCTGTTGTCATTCGAATAAAGTTATGCAATACGCATGTAGCGATAATAAGCATGCCTGTGTATCAAAAGGATAGCGAGATTGGTTCTTTAGGATAGGAAAGCGTGCTTTCCATAATCCAAATGTGCGTTCAACAATGTTCCACAATGACAAATGCCGATGATTAAATAACTCTTGTAGCGCCCTCGGAGCTTGAGTATCCATGATTTCATTAAATTGACATTCAACATTAGGATATGGGGCAATAAAACCATGCATATTGAGATAACTTGCATCCACGAGGTAGTACTTTCCTACACCGTAATAGGTCTAAAATGTTAATAGCTACACATTAACCACATACATGTACATATGAGAATTCAATCAGTCTTACCTTGAGGCACTCTTAAAGGATTAGTCTCTCTGTTAATTGCGCTATCTAAAATTCTTGAGTCTGCAGCAGATCCTTCCCAACCAGCGAGTACGTATTGGAAACACCTATCAAATGAGACAGCAGCCAATACATTTTGGGATTGTTCACCCTTTTTATTACGGAATCTTTTGTTTGTGTTGCTCCCAACCCAAGCTGGTATGTGTGTTCCATCGATTACTCCAACACAATCCTTGCAAGCCAATGTCAAGTTAGTTGTAATAAACCGAAATAGCAGCTTAACTAAGTTTCTAAAGCAGTGGGTATTTGTTACCTTAAAATATGGATAGAACATGGGATTGTTTGAGATGCAATCGGGTATTTCTCTGCTAGGGGGTAATAAGAAATCCGGACCCAAAGCTACAACTGCCTTCAACACTTTATTGAAATAATAGCTAATAGTCTGACCAGAATGTTGAAATTGAGCTTGCATCACCCTATTACGTTCATTATGTGCAACTGTGTTCAAGAATGTGGCCACTTGTTCTTCTACCAACACACTTCTCTTATTATGAAGTAGGGATTTTGCTCTCAAAAGTGTACATAGTTTTTTAAAAGCATCCCTTTCCATCCGCAACAAATTGAAACAGTTACGGGGGTTTGAATTCATTATATATGTAACAAATTCAGACCCAGTTCGTGATAAACTATGAATTTGCACACTTGACGATTGTGTAGTATAATACCAGTAGCAAACACAAGTTGCTATCCATGCAGCAGAACATGCAGCAAGATATCTACGAAACTCGGACGGATCCATAATAGTCTACTCTGCACTCACAATTAAAAAAGTTCAATACAAGGTTTATCGTAATTACAAAAGTTCGATTTGAATGCCCGAATCTCACATATATATATATATATATATCATCACATGTCATAAATAATTGCCATAACAATTAAACAGAATGTCAAACTAAATAACATTATCATCACACATCGAGTTTTGGACAGAGGATCATCATTAGGGTCAATCGAGGCTAGCTACTTGATATAAAGTGACTTTAAGAGTAAACATTGCCTAATGACTGGACGTGTTTGAGGTGACCAAATAGCCAGTCATTGCTTACACCATCTACACTAACTAGCTTGATATTAAATGAAATCAAGTAACTCCCTATAACATATCCCACCAACAATATTTATTAATAGTATATAGAAGTATGACTAGTGATCATGTTTTATGACAACTTGAAATAGAATCAAAATTTGTATTTAGCCCGTGGATTAAAGCTAGGCTCTCCTTGAGCTGAACGGTTTTTAAGGCCATGAATTAGAATGCTCAAGATACTTAGGAGAGGGAGGACAATTCTCTTGGCATAAGCACCGAGTAAGTTGAAAAACTCACTCTGCAGGTGACAACCATAGAGTGGCTTGAAATCGAACCAGGCATCATCTAGGTCCATACCGAATTCATGTTGAGAACAAATGTTTTAATGATAGCTATTTTTTTTTTTTTTTTTTTGTGGGGGGTGAGGGGGTAACCCAGTCCCCAGACCTGATGGATATGAAGTCAAAACTAAGAACTAGAAAACCATTAAAAGTCAAACAATTCAAGCCCTAACATGACCTATGAGTATCAAACTACAACAATTTCATAGGTGAGTATCAAACTACAACAATTTCATAGGCAATTTCAGAAAGCAAATTTCATAGAATTGAATCAAGAACTAGTTCTTTTATCAAACCAATGAGAGGGTCTTAGAAACCAGAGTACATGAAGATCAAGAACCTTTTTGTGTAAATTTAAAATTTTTGGAACTATTATTCATGAGAGATAGAGAGGCTTTCGAATAAACCATGATTGTTAATGAAAATTATTGATTTTGTGCTCCAAGAAACCAAGCATGAAATTAGAGTTGTGAAATATAGAGAGGCTTTCGAATAAACCAAGAACTTGACCTAAGATGAAATTAGAGTCGTGAAATATCTTAGAAAATGTAAAAGCACGCATTAATGGATCCACAAATCTCAAGATGTCCATAAAATCAAACAAATCTGCACATGTTAATGGACACAGTCTTGAGTTCAAGAGTAGAGAATTGCCATTGCACTAGAGAAGTGCCATTGCAAATAGACGCTCCCTTGGACTGTAGTAAATATATCGTCCAATCTCATGAGCAAACCTAAAATTTGCTACAGAGATGACCCCAAAACCAAGATTATGCATTGACTGATGAAATGAACAAAATCAGTACCTCATTAACAGATACAGTGACAGAGCAAATGTTCGGAACAAAAATATAAAATTGCAGACCAAGGTTTGGAATGTATCATCCCATTTAAAGAATAATCCAATAATTTGATATGCAACAATGCTTGAATCCACGAGATCCTTAATACCAAACAATGTCATAGAGTGATGGAAATGACCAAAATCAGTAACATATTATAACAGAGAGACCGATCCAAATATTCAAAATAAAAAATTCAAATAAAAACTTCAAAATATGCTGCAATTAAACAATAAAAAAATCAACAGAAAAGGAGAACAATATACAAAAAAGGAGAGAAGCATATTAATGCAACCAACAAATATTAGCAAATGAAGAGCTCAGCAACAAATAATAAAAAAGAACCAGCAGAGATTTGGGAACATTGAAAAATCAGTAAAAAAAAGAAGCACTGTGGTGGATGCCAAATCAATATAAAATCAGCAACAACGATAAAATCTGGTTTCTTATCAAAATGGGTGTATTTGGTGTTCTTATTTGGTGTTCTGACTTGTTTTTACACTGAAAAAAACAGTAAAAAATTTGAAATTCAATACATAAGTAACAAAATATAAAACATGCTTTAATCAAAATAGTATAGTTGATACTCTTATTTCTTTTTGTGCTTCGTTTTCTTATTTGATCCTATACAACAAAATAATATTTGGCGCTTTTCTTCATTTTTCTTGGTCAAAACCAGTCCTTATTTGTTCAGAGAGAGAGAGAGAGAGATACCATGTGTAACTGCGCGTAAGGAAAAGCAATGGGGGGCTGTATCCGAGCGAGGATAGAGAGTTTAGGGTTCCCAAAGAGCGGAAGTCGAGGTGATAAAAGGAGAGGAGAGGAGTGAGAGAGAGAGATGGCCACAGGTGTAATGGGGCAGAGAGAGATATAAATCTCAAATTTAGAGAGTGAAGGGAAACAGTGCGCAGTAGTTACAGGGACGTTTTAGAATTTTAGAGAGAGAAGAGATGAGTGCATTAGTTAGTGAAGGATTTTTAGAGAGAGGAGAGAGAGCTCTTCTTAGGGCGAGAGTGGAGAGGGAAATGCGAGGGTTTTGAGGGGCGAAAAAGTTTATTTAAGGATGCTACCTCATAATGCAGAACTACGGAATGCCCCTTAAAAATCCCTCGAAAACATGTACTTCTAATGTTGAAAAACCCTTCGATTGATCATCTATTAAAAATAAAAAAATTTTAAGTCTCATAAATAGTGCATTTTACAGTATATTATCTACACCGTCCATTTTCAATATTTTCATATGTTTATAGATCTACTTGACTTAATAATTTTTTAAATTTAAACTTTTATAATTAGATATAAAAATAGATTGTGAGATAATCCTAATAATATTTTACATCAAAATTATACATCATGATAAAATTTGAAGATGCACCTGAATGCATCCGTATGCCAACTGCATGAAAAGGAAAAGTTTATATAAGGATGCAATCTAATAATTGGTTGACGCTTGATGATTTGCAATTCTATTTTCTCGGCTCAAACCCTACAAGGGTAGAGGCCCTCTCCCCAACTTAAAAAAAAAAAAAGAAGTTAAGCAAGTCCTTGTTCTGCTTCGACCATTGGTTGGATTGAGTTTGAATTTTGTATATTTGGTTGTTGATGTATGATCTTTCTATTAAATAGATCATATTTGAGGAAAAAAATAAAAAACAAATTTTAGGGATTCGAGAGATCAAGTTTCCCACTAGGGATTGACCGAAGTTTGAAAGCTTGTGATCTTGGCTGAAATTTGTTAACTAAGCCTAGTTTTGAGTTAGTCATCAAGCATAAGCTTATTTTTCACAAAAATAACTACTCAAAATCTCAAATTTCGAGATCACGAGGATCAAACTACCATTCAACCAAAAATATTTATCCATTTTTTAAAATTAAAACACTATGTAAGCCAATGACAATAGGAAAATAGCTGTTAGCCCTAGAGCGCTATTAAAATAAGTAAACCTCATTTCATAACTCATAAAAAATTACAATTCAAGTACAGGAAAACCTTTATCAATCATCTCAGCATTATGTTTGTGAAAAAAAAAAAATCAAGATTTTAAGCTCTAAAAATACTATATATTGCAGCAAATTACCTTGATTGTCTATTTCACTCAAAAAATAAGTGGTCGTAGATCCAAAATATATGTACTATTATTTGGGTTTCAAAATTGTTGTTGCTATTGGAAATTGATTTTAGATCCATGATGGAAATTTCTATTATCAAAATTGCTTTCTTGACGAGGATTTGCGGTGAGGCTTTATTTTGTTTTCATAAATCCTAGGCCTTATATAGAAACTTCATCCATAACAATAAGTTTTAGCATTTTTCATTTTGTACATATGTTCTTATTAGTATTTTAAGTTTTGTAAATTCTATGAAGTATTTCAAATAATATATGTTTCTAATGTGCTTTTCCTACGTTTTTAATAATTTGAGAGTGAAAGCACAGTGGGTTTTAGTCCACATTGAATAATGAAGTGAGAATTAAGTGGCATTTATTTAAGAACAATCTCATGCTTTATATTCCAAGAGCAAAAGAGATAGTATGGGTGCATAACAAGCGCAAACTTGAAGGTGGCACAAAGTTTAATGCATTTCTAAAACTAATTGTGTTATCATCGTTATAGCCTCCTCTTTTTATTTTATTTTTCTTTTTTCACTTGATTTTTTAATAAAAATTTATTTGTAAGCTTCTTTAATTTACTATCTCTCCCTGTTAGTTTTTTCTTACGACATTTTTGTCATGTTTGTAAACTTTTCACATGGTTTTTTAATAAAAAATTATTTGTAAGCTTCTTTAATTTACTATCTCTATTCTGCGGTCAATCTCTCCATTATCCAGCGACTTCTCTTGTTTCTTCGGCATTCACTTTCTTACCATCTGTTTTAGAGAGAGAATTTAGTGTCCCTCTGTACACTTTCCGACGAGTTTTTCCCATTCTGTATTTCTCATTTGCTTGCAGCTTTAACATTCGTTGTCTCCTTTTCCGGCTATGGTTCTCTCATTCTACGGTCTTAATATCTTTTCCAACAACCATTTTGTCGACTTTACATACTTCTCGGTCTTCAGGAGTCACTTTCCGGCAACTTTTATGTTTGTGTATCCTTTCCCGGTGATTGTTCTCCCCTTCTACGGTCGTCCTATCCATTTTCCGACAAGTTACTATGGTTTTTTGTGCGCTCACTTTCTCTCCAGGAGAGAGAGTGAATGAAATAATGAATTTAAGATAAGAGGCCAAAAAAAATGGACCCAATTTCTTTGAGGCCAGCCCGCATATTGTAGAAATGTGGGCTTGTATAAATATAAAATTTAAATATATTTTCATCCTAATTTTTAGAATATATAATATTTAACATGGAGTCATGATTATGATAATAATATAAAAAAATTGAAAGCTATAAATAATAATTATATTAAAAAAACATTTAAACCGTCAATCTTTTAAGTGGATACTTTATTCCTCTGGCCCCATATTGTAAAAAGGCGGTCCGGCCTGTATAAAACAATTTTCCAAAAGAAATACCACCGCTACTCGTCACCGGTTCCCCTATCTGCCCATTATCTCAAGAAAAATTGTTCCATGCATCGGGGGACATATTTCTACATTCGTGTCTCTTGAGATAAAGATGGATGAAAATGGGTTGTCCATCCGAAAATAATTGACACTAATGGTTTAAATATTTTATTCAAAAAATTATTATTTTTCATATTCATAATCTCTATATTAGAGATTATATCTCCTTAAGAATTTCCAACAAGTTTTATCTTCATATAATGGAGTCCGACACACCTTGTGCCGGACCGCATTATATTCCAATAACCCTATTTGCCTATAATACAGTCCGGCACACTTTTTACTAAGCCGAAAAAAAATTTGCAGAAAAAAAATACTGAGAGAAATGGTGAGGAAAGGTAGAGACAGAAAGAGAGAGAAAAACAGGTAAAGAGAAAAATGGGAGGGGAGAGATAGAGAGAGAGTAAGGGAGAGGTAGAGAAAGTAAGAGAGAGAGTCACATGATTAAAAAAAAAAAAAAGAAGAAGAAAGAGAAAATCGTCAGTTTTGTTCAAAATACATGGACTATTTAACTTGAATATAGGCCTTGACTCGGGCTTGCCCGAGTAACTGACATCGGGCCGGAAAATGGTCCAAGTTAATTTCCAGAACACTGGTCATAACGTCCTATGCTTTTTACAGAGCCTATTACATAGGTAAACCC